TTTAGGTCAGGACGATGCTTCTTCCTTTATTCGGCATATACCAGCAGCCGAATCCTTCGTAGGCATCGTCGTTGGAGTGGGGTTGGTTGCTTCTTGGATCGTCGCTTTCGTCGCTCCTTGCCGTCTTGTCATTAACGCGACAATCGTCACGTGACGGACGTCGCGTTCCATTTTTACCTGTTATCTACTCTTTTGATTGTTTATTCTGTCATTCATACCTTTCACTCTTCAATAATAAGTAAATACATAAATAAAATACATAAAGGAGAACAAATTTATCGATTTATTTCATATAAAACTAGCTTTATTATGTTTCAAAAAACAGTTGAGCGTTATTCTATCAGTTCCACTAGTTCGATAGACAGTTATGATTTCAGTCATTATGAAAAGGAAAACCAATTGCCTGCTAACCTTGAAGATTATGATTTCGATGACTATGAAAATAACGAGCTAGTACAAAATACCATTCAAGACTTGAACAAGTTCTTTACTACTGTTAAATGTCAATGCTCTAGTAATAATAAGGAAAATAAAAAGTGCTTTGAGGTCGTGGGATTTAAACGGTTCTTTGAACGTCATCTCCAATTTCGAGCTTTGGGTAGAGAAGAATTAGATGCGGTATTAATGGGACAAATATTGGCGTTCCAATGTGATGGAAATATAAAAATGGATGGGCATCGTTCGCGTGATTTTTTTAGATACCAATTTAATGGACAAATTGCTCTCTGTATGACAGTCTATCTAAAACTGGTAGGAATTAGTAGAAATAAACTTGATGCGATCAAGCGACAACTAGAGGAATATGGACTAACAATGAGAATACATGGTAACACCAAACGTCTGCCTCAGCGATCAAGCAAAGTAACCATTACTCATGATAATGCCAAAGAAGTTTCATCTTTTATTCTTAATTATGCTGATATTAATGGGCTTCCAAGACCCGGTAGCCATCTAGAAAAGAATGATCAGGCATTGATTTACTTGCCTACAGATGAAAACTATACTTCCGTTTTTCATAAATATGAACAAGTTATGAAATCGATGAACAGAAATAATGATCAAATCAGTCGGTCCTCTTTTGTTCGTTTGTGGAAATCGCTCATTCCTCATATTAAGTTTATGACTCCCAAGTCAGATTTATGCAATGTTTGCGAAACATTAAGATGGAAAATTGGTCATACCAACAAGCCTGAAGATAAAGAAGAGTTATTAGTTGAATATGCTAGTCATATAAGAATTGCTAAACTCGAACGCGAATATTACAATGATAACATTAAAAAAGCAAAAGAAAATGCTTCCCATACTATTAATATTCATTCACCACTTGCTACTAAAGAAAGACCTGCCCCAAATACTGTTGATGGTAAGAGTTTTATAATACCTCTTTAAGCTGTTTTGCGAAAAATATATAACTTTGTCAATTTCTAAAATATGAATAATATTAGCTATTGCTCATTTTTGTTATGATTGGGCGCAGAGTGTTCCAGTACCATATTCTCCACAACAAATTGGTCCTTTGTATTTTAAGAGTGTACGCTCAGTCAGTATTTTCGGAATTAATGATACCGGTAATCAGCCTCAATCTCATCAAATAAATTACCTTGTAGATGAAGGGGAGTTTCCTGTAGGAGTAGCAAAGGGTGCAAATACAACTTTAAGTTTGGTCTATGACACACTTATTGAACGTAACAGAGGTGAGAAGAACATCAAGATTACTTGTGATAACTGTGGAGGGCAAAACAAGAATAATGCTACTATTGCTTTCTACTGTTGGTTGGTATTAATTAGTATGTTTGACACTATTGAACTTAATTTCATGATACCCGGGCACACAAAATTTATTTGTGATAGATATTTTGGACTTTTGAAAGCTCGTTACAAAAAGTCAGTGATAAATACTGTTGACGATATTGCTGAAGTAACTAGAATGTCTACTCATGGCAATAATGCAATCCGTTACAAAGATCATGAGTGGAAATATTTTGATTTTGTTAATTATTTTACTCCTTATTTTAAAAAAGTCCCTAACATTAGACGTTACCATCATTTCTTGTTCAAGTCTACTGAACGTGGCAAAGTTTTCTGTCAGGAAACTGCTAATGGAGAATTTACAATTATCGATTTATTTAAAAAGAATACTATATTTGATCCTTACATATTACCAAAGACTTTAGATTTACAACCTATTTTACTTACGAGACAGACATATCTTTATAATGAAGTAAGAAGATTTGTCAACGATCCTTATAAGGATATAACTTGCCCCAGACCGCCAAGTAGTTAAATAAAGTTTATTGCATTACTATTGGTTGCTTAAATTTTGGGGTAATATGTGATTACCATAAAAATGGCCCAATTTCTTTGAAACCGATTTTCTAATAACATCTATTTTTGCGAATGCACCATTTTCATAGATCAGTCGTCATATGCCAAATAATTATAGACTTTGATCTTACTCAACAAATAATTATCTCTAATTGAATAGATCAAAAAGAAACTCTTTCTCTTCTTTGATGAATAATATTCTATAATTTATAATCACTGCTCTAATATAACAATCATTACAACTTAAATACAATACAATAGCTTATATGGATAATCTCAACCTTCTTATAATCTCAAAAAACTGAAATCCAAAACAACCTCAACATTGCAACAGAATTTTTTCAACTAAATAACATCAAAGCTAATTCAATAAAAACTAAACTAATCAAAATAAATAGCAAAACATATAACAAAACAATTTTTCAAGGAACAACTCCGATCTTCCTACAAAAAATAAAAACCAATAAGAATTCTAGGTATCTGACTTTCTGAACATAGCATTCTTTCTTTCAATTACAATAAAATACTTGAAGATACAGAAACAATCTTATGGGCACTCAAATCAAAATGTATAACAGGCCATATAGCTACATACATCTATAACAAAGTTCTTTTTCTATAAATAGAATTCAAATTGCAAACTACCTTTCTTACTCTGAATATGCTTAAAACTATCCAAAGGAAAATAGATATACCAATTAAATATAAATTTAACATTGAAAAAATTCTTTTCAAACTTGGTTTTATAATCTATATATCTTCAGCATCAAACCTATTTCAGATTTATAATCAGAAGTTCTAATTTTCAATCTATAATATTCATTATCAAATCCTATTAAAAACTATCCAAAAATTTAAAAATTATCATTATACAAATTCAAAACTATTAACCACTCTATATCTTTCAAAACCAATAAATCATTAAATACAATATCACAACCTATGTAATTCAACTTGCTAAATATTATATTACATTTTTCACTAAATTTAATTGCCAATATAAACTTTTTGGAGATAAAGATGAATTCCTAAATTATTTAGCATACAAAATTTCACAAATCAATTATGTCTCTTTTAAAGGGACATAATTATTTATTCATTATTTTAATAGGGATCAAGTGATCTAAATTACAAAAAACCTTTGTAGATAGTTTTTTTTGATCTTATATTTAAAAAAAACTTTTTTAATAGTAAGGAACATTTGAATTATGTCCTTGCCTTTAATTTAGGAACTCATCTTTATCTGAAGGAACCACTCTTATTTATCAACTTCTTTCATATTACAAAAACCGATTAATCTTTGCAAATTAACTCACAAAAAAATATATATTCTATATCAAACAACTACTAATATTCAAAAATAATAACACCACAAATTGGCAACATATCTTAGCCAGATTCAAATATAATATTTATGGAAAATATCCCTTTAATACAAACTACTACTACAATAACAATTCCAACAAGCAGATACAACACTAGTCAAACCAAATAAAAAAAGAAAATGGTTGTTGACTCTAATTAACAATGAAATAATAATAGGGAAAAAACAAAAAACAAGCAAAAATAACCTCCTTATTAACCACTAGATCTATAAAAACTTTGACCTTAACAGATCTTTATTACTTACCAAATACTTAGGCTTTTTATTCAACATATATATAAACAGTCATAAATGTTAACTTATAATTCTTCTAAACTTATTCAATCTCTTTATTAAACCACAAATGGATAATATAATCCAAACAAAAGTAATTAAGAATGATCTTCTCAATATATTATCAACAAAACTATCTTTTAACAACTCACAAATACTAATTTATATATATGTGGTATAAATTATTTTGCTATTGACTCAATTGTCAAAATCCTCAAAAATAATTGCATTTAACTCAATTGTTTTATATATTTTAATAGTGACTCAATTAATTGCATCAAATAATTGCATCAAATTGCATCAAGAATCTACCAATTTTTATCACATGTATATTAATTTACTAAAACCTATTTGAATTATTAAAATAAAAATATATTTCAACAACATTATAATTAATTATCAACTTATTTCTTTAATATAATGATTTACTCTTGAAAATACTTCTTATATACAAATATTAATTCAACTTAACAACTATTATTTGAAACTTTATTTAACACTACAAATTCTTTTCAATAAATTTTAACTTAAATTCTTTGCTTTTACTACTATATACAATAATTATTATATTTCTTTCCAACAATTCAAAGGACTACTACTTCTTTTTCAAACATCTGAAACTTACTAATAAAATCTTTGCATTATTATCTAACAACTATAGAAAAAAATGTAAACTTCTATACTTTATTATTATCTTAAACATTTATAACATAATCCAAATCCTATGAATCTCTTATATCTTTTACAAACCTATCTTTACAATTTTAAAATACAATCAACAAATTCTTACCTATCACAAATTAATATAATAGATATCTACCAATTTAATACATACTAAAAGACTTAAACAAAAATCCTATTTCTTCAATAAGACAATATTTTAAACAAATAAACAAAACTATTTGATCCATAGAAATGATTTTCTCACAATAAGCAAAAACAACTTTTAATTCAGACCTTTTATTACTTACAAATATACTCAACTTCTTAAAAATAATACCAATTTCAACTATGCAATATTAATTAAAAATTTACAACTTTCATTTCAAAATTTTATCAAATATATTTCCAACCAAATCTCATCTTCATATTACTTTACCACAAATTTATATAAATAATATATGTCCATAATACTATATATGTGGTGTAAATTATTTTGCTGTTGATTCAATTGTCAAAATCCTTAAAAATACAGAGGGGGAACAAAAGTTTCCGAACGGTTTTTTAAACCCCGATTTATTTGTATTTCTACTGTATAATAAATAAAGCTATATTTAACACGTAAATTAACTATACAGTTAAAGATGGGTCCCTAAATTATTTGTGAGGACATAATTCAAATGTCCCTTATTAAAAATTTTTATTTCTATATTAAGAAATAAAAAAAAACTACCTACAAAGGTTTTTTATAGTTTTAAGTATCT